TCAAAGTTTCAAGTTAAATGAATCACCCTGTATGAGAATATATATAATATTCAGGGGCGAAATTTTATTTTAAGGATCTGTAAGTGATATCTACATAACCACATTTGGCAAATTATAATTATATAGAGTTAAACTCGGAGTTAAAATAAACTTAAACCAGTTAAATATAGTTTAAGTTGATTTAAAATTTAAAAGTACCTAGTTAAAAAGGGTAAAATCTCGGGTAAAATAAATCAAAAACTACCAAATATTAACTTCTTTTTAACCCAAAGGTACATTAACCAAGAAGTTAAATTTAACCAACATAAAGATAATTTTACCATTATTGAATTCCCCACTTATTACAAAATAACGTTAATTTAACGTTGTAGTAGGTACAACTTAAATAAATTAACCAGGCATAACGTAAATTTAACGTTAATTTAACCAGTTGTGCTACTTGGGAAACAACTTCAACTGAAATTTTTTTTTAAATTTTTAATTAAAACAAACTTCCAATAATAATGGACAAAAAATCAAATTTGTTACTTATAAGCCTTTTCTAATTTAGACATTTTTAAGGCACTTTCTCAAGGGGAATTTAAGTCTGCTTAGCCTCGAAAACGAATTTTAATAATTGCATGTTTTTTCGCAATAAAAACAGGTGGTAATTGGCCAACCTACTCTAGAAAAGTTCGGTATTGGCTATACTGTGGCAAACAAAAAAATTCATTTTGCCGACAACTGTAATTTTAAAACTACTAGTATACTTCTTTTAAAACTACTAGTATACTTCTTTTAAAACTACTAGTATACTCCTTCTATAAATCTTACTACCATGTATATTTTGTAGTTAAGTTTTATATTTATTTGGTAGTTTTTATAAGTTTTATTATTTATACAAATAAGCATTATTTTTTGATAAAACGAACAATTCGATTTGTTGTTACAGTACCTACATAGGTAATGTACCTATATGTATACTACTATATACTAATATATACATACCAACAAATATTTTCAATTTATGAATCATAAAACAAATATTGCCAACTTTTTTTACAATAAATAAAAATCTTAAACAAATAAACAGAAAAGTAAATATTAAAATAAGACAAATTTTAATTCCCAGAATATTTGGTATCCTCGTCTTTCGGGAAATAGATGTTTCATATAATATTAATAAAAACAGCGCAGCGCTTTACTGTGACTCACTACCAATCATTATTTTTTATGCTTACAACTAGGTATAATTCGCTTTATTGAATTTACTTCGGCATTTAACCTTCATATAGATATTTAGTTTAATTATAATTTAATAATTTATAAAATTATTTGATACATTAATCTTATTTCAATTTTACAAAGACGGTATGTTAAGAAATTTATATAGGTACTTAGCCAATTTCAAAATGATAACATTTTGGCGGGTTTTGTTATTTATGTTGTATAGTTTGCAAAAAATTGTTAATTAAATGTTTACTTACCTATAAGTAGTTCTTAAATTCTATAAATTGATCTTAAGGATTATTGGAAATTACTCTTAGAAATGGATTTTAAAAATAGAAAACTTTACAAAACCTACATTTAGGTACAACATCAATAATACATACATATAATATACAGGATGATTAAGGTTTAGTAGCGGATTTTTTAAATAAAATTCAATAATCAATAATAATTTTATGAAATACAACATTTCGTTTTACAAGTTGTTTCTCAAATTAAATTTATTATTAATAATAAATATATTATTTTTTTAAAAGATGTTTTCTGTTATATTTAATTTAAAAACAAAGCAAGATATCGATAAAACCTATATACATGTACACTAATGGACAAATGTAGAGAAACTTTTAAATTATCCTCATATTTTCCTTAATAAACGAATTAAATGAGCACAACCCTCACTGTATACATAATATTATGAATAGACATCCTGTATAAAACATTTATTTACCTGCGACTGTTACTCTTATTTTTTTCGACATTCTTTATTTTTTTGCTGGACAGAAGTAGAGAAACTTTTTTTATATATCAAATATTTCATATAAATTCAGTTATTAATCGATCTTCGAAGAAGTATTTTGCAAAGTATTAATACATAAAATGCCTCGAGGAGTTTATTTGTCAGAAGATTTAAAAAAGAAAATTATTGAAGCTTACGAAAGTGGAATAAAGCAAGTGGTCATTTCAAGTAACTTTAATCTGAATAAAAGTGTAATTTCTAAAACAATTAAAAACTATAGAGCTCGTCATTCTTTAAAATCCATTAAAAAACCGGGAAGAGCACGAAAAACTACTAGGCGTATGGACAAAAGATTCAAAAGGTTGGCCCAGCGTAATCCTAACTGGACAAGTAATGAAATTTTAAAGAATATTCCTGAAGCAACGGTTAGTTTTAAAACTGTACAACGAAGATTACGAGAGTTTGGACTATTTAGCAGAAGATCAGCTAAGAAACCATTAATTAGTGTAAAGAACCAGAGAGCCCGACTCGAATTTGCCAGAACCCATTTAAACTGGACTTACAATGATTGGAAAAAAGTACTGTTTACGGACGAATCAAAGTTTAACTTGTTTGGATCTGATGGTCGGGCTTGGGTACATCGTCCTGTGGGTCAGAGATTTAATCCAGCATTCACTAAACCAACGGTTAAGCATGGAGGTGGATCTGTTATGGTTTGGGGCTGCTTTTCAGGATTTGGTATGGGCCCACTACACGTAATTGAAGGTATAATGGATCGTTTTGTGTATCTGGATATACTAAAAAATGTTATGTTGCCATTTTCCGAGGAAAATTTACCATTAACATGGATCTTCCTACAAGATAATGATCCGAAGCACAAGGCCGGGATCGTAAATGAATGGTTTACCAGAGAAAAAATAAAGGTTATGGAGTTTCCACCTCAAAGTCCGGATTTAAATCCCATCGAGAACTTGTGGGAGGAACTGTACAGGCAAGTTCACAAAATAGAAATTCATAACAAGCAAGAATTGATCGAAAGACTAAAAGAATGCTGGAGAAATATGGAAAATCAAACAATTCAAAAATTATTAGAATCAATGCCTAAAAGATGCCAGGAAGTGATAACCAACAATGGGTTTTCTACACATTATTAATTGTTCTAATTATATTCAACTCATAATTATTTTATAATTATTTTTAAGAAAGTTTCTCTACATTTGTCCACTTAAAAAAATATAAAAATTTATAAAACATATATGGTGTACTTATTTAAACTGTTTAATTAACAGACATAACAACCTAAATTTATGTATATCAAATATTATATAAATAATTTTATTCACTTTATAATTAAAACATATTATAAATTTTTAAAAAGTTTCTCTATATTTGTCCATCAGTGTAGGTGAGTACCTAATATTTAAAAAAATACTATACCTACATTATGTAGGTAAAGTCGAGTAAAGTTTAAATAATGGATTTATTTTAAATATAAAAGATCCTGCTACTTAAACCTGGGACACCCTGTATATTATTTTTTAATTTTAAATTGAAAATTATATTTAACGATTTTGTCGCTACCGTTTAGGTTTTGTTTTAAAAGAAAGTAAACGCTACTGGAACTTTAAATAAGATATCTCAATATTTATTTATGTACCAATTAAAATGCTATAATTACAGCTAATTGAAGCGACAAAAAAGACTTGTTAACGTTTATAACGGGTTTATTATTATCTATCTCTAAAGTTTATTTGTAAACATTCTTTATTTGTTTACGACAGATCATATTTATTAATAAAATTAATCATATAAAATTTGCAACATTCAATACACTTATCTCGTGAAAAAATCAAACTTGTTTTTGGATAAATTTTGACCTTATATTTAATTAATCCGAATAATAATTTTGAACTAAAGGTTAAGGATGCTACAGAGGTAGGTAGGTATAATCCCTTAAATAATTTATAACCCCTAATAAATTGTAGTACCTAACCCTTAACTAACACTTAGGTGTGAAAATAATTGATAACTACTTATATATCATTATTGTTAGATAATTATTATATTATAGATACTTAAGTAGGTACCTACCTAATACCTACCAGTAAATAAAATTTAAATATTAAAATAAGAAGCTACCTATTTACCTACCTATGTAGGTATTCTATAAATAATTAAGATGGGTTTACCTTTTGATATCAATTAATAAAAATATGCAATGCATATAAACTGCATATTTTCTACCCAATAAAATTATTGAATAATTCATTTATTACTTTTATTATTATAATAATTAGGTATAACATAATTAATATAGTAGGTATATTAACATTCACTTTTACTTATTTTCCTAATGGATATGAAATGTAATTACTTAGGTAGTAGTGAAAACCTATTTCAACACATAATCTGCAAATTTTATTAATTAAAAACTGAATATTAACGAATTAAAATCGCCCAGTGTGCCAATTAAAACTTGCCTATTTTAAAGCATATAAACGAAAATATAGGATAATACAATATTTTTCTATGTATGGATTCTTGAAAGTGCAGGTAGGCTTTGAACATGTTGGCCCCTGGTTTCTTAAGATTATAAAGAGGTAGGTACAAGTTATCCTTAAAAAGCAGGTGGTCAAGACAGCTGCAGTACCATGCCAATGTTTTGATTGGCCGAGTTTTTCTCGTATTAGTTTTGTTTTTGCATTTCCGATGCAAATGTTTTTCGCTTAAAAATTTTAACACACCGACTCTTCCTTTTTCAATTTAATAAATCGTCGAGACGAATACTAATAGAGTGCCAGGATGTCGACAATTGCAAACAATATACTAAATAATAAGAAAGAAAACATTTTAAGATTTACTTATCAAATTGAAGTAATTCGATCAAATTTTATCATTTATTCGATAACCCTGCAAGCATCTCAATTCGATCATCCAAAAATTTATCGCACAACAATGACGAAAAGATGTGCCAAACCGGCCCGACAAAAAACACAATTTTCCACCCCCTTGGAGCGTTTTTCTATAAGAACACAATTAATTCGGTACTTACAACAACTCAAAATTAATCAGTAATCCAAATATAATTCACAAATCACTTGGAAACACACCGGAACAACTTTTTAACAATATTCCGTGGGATGACACATACCCGCACACACAGAACTGAAGACAAAATCAACAAAACGCAACGCCTTACACGACAGATGGCGTATTTTACCGGAACATGGCGAACGAGGAGAATCTACCCTTGGAACGTAATTTCGGTTGCATACGCACCGGCGCTACCGCAAAAAATCAATTTATCAAAACCACAAAATGCTAAATTAAAAACCAATGCTACCGCGTTTATTACCGCCAATTATTTTGGTTATTATTATTATTATTATTAATATTTTGGTTAAGAATCCTAAGACTGTAGCTTTTTAATACACATATGACTTTAATAGGTTAATAATTTTCTGTCAGTGTTGTCCTATTTTTTGAAAATAATACTATGCATGTATTTTTTGTGTATAATTTATACTATAAAGGTATTAATTTAAAACAAAAAAATACCTGTAACTATACAATATTATTGTATTACTTTTAGAAAATAGGACGAAATTAGCTTGACACTGACAGAGAGTTAACCTTAATTATTTCTATCAAAGTCACCTGGTGGGACTTCGAAGTGTGAATTAAGCATTGCATTTGTTGTTTGTACCAGGGTTTGTACCACAGACCAGGTCTAGGTCTGTGGTTTGTACCAATACAAATAATTGAGGTTATATATTTGTCAGTTTAACGCTAGTTTCGACGCAAATTCTGAAAATAATACAATATTATTTGTCTTCTATACAAAAAAATGAATTTCATAAAACTGAAACGAAAGTTTAAGTTATAACCCTATTTTTTAAAGCCTGATTTATAGACTGCCTTCCTTCCTCCCGTAAAAGATGAACAAAAATCGTACGGGAATCTATAAACAGCACAACGGTTTTTGTATTGTTCATCTTTTACGTGAGGAAGGGAGGAAGGAAGGAAGAAAATCTATACATCAGGCTTAAGTTTTCAATCTTTTTGACCGAAAGTTGTATTGCGTTCCGCATTAAAATTAATTATTGGGTGTTTTGGTGGAAGGATTTTACACATAAGTCGTTTTTTTGCGTAAATACTATGTAATACTACGGTTAAATAAGTCATGACGTCACAGTTAATTCATATAACCATGGTTAGGTTTCTAACATTTGACATGTTTAATACAAAATAAGGAAGAATATAAAACAAACCTGCATATAATTCCTCCACTTGTGGAGATTCCACAATATGGAGCACCCTATCATTTATTTTTACTGACAACACCCCGTTTACCATTTTAATACAAAATTTAAATTGTACCCACTTAAAATATTTTAAATTTCAAATGTAAACAACTTTTTGACAGATCGAAACAGAGAAAAATATATATTAAAAAGAGAAAAACTATTAACCACGTTGAATAACTAGCGCATCTTGCGCTAGTTTAGCTCTAGCGCCGGGGGTTGCCAGTAAACTGACAATAGAGTCGTGGAGTCCAGTATAGGTTTGTCCGCCGATAGTGACTGTTTTTTATTATAGTAATTTATTGAGTCTAAAATAAATTACGCTGGACTTGGGTGTTTTCAACACAGGAATCCTCATATGTAAATATATCGTTAATTTTTTAAATTACAAAAGAACAAACAATAGTCTGTCTATTCGGGCTCGCGCGCGTACATTTGCGCTATCGCGCGTGTATTTGCGCTATCGCGCATGTATTTGCGCTGTCGCGCATGTATTTGCCCCTTTTAAATGTCATATATATTTATCTTGCTAAAGTTAAGTTATCTGCCTTAAATAAAAAATCTCAAAAAAGCATCAATTTTGTAAATAAAAAAATCTATATTCAAAAACAAATAAAGATGAACTTGTTTTTTTTCTAAATATAATTTGTCCTAAAAATGCCTTCTGTTTAAGTCATATAAATTTAAATTAGAAAAAAACAGACAATAAAATTTTTATTCGGCTCGCTCGACTATATTTGTGATGTCGCGCATGGTTCGCGCCTTTTAGATGTTATATAAATTTATCTTGCTAAAGAAAAGATATTTGCTTCAAATAAGAATTCTAAAAAATATCCCAAAAACAAATAAATAATGATTTGTTTTGTTTTCACAAAATTATTTAATAAAAAAATACCTTCTGTTTATGTTATACATTTAAATTACAAAAAAACAGACAATATATTTGTATTCGAGGTGGCGCGCGTACATTTGCGCTATCGCGCGTATGTATACGTGCGTGAGTGAGTATAAACTTTGAATTAAAAGTGTGGAAATTAGTTTTTAATGTTTACAATTTAAAAAAATAACTTACCGATGACACTCCGGAAATAGCCAAATATTTTTGTTTAAAGTTCTTATTTTAAAAAACAACCAAAATCCTGTGAAATCGGGCTCGCGCGCGTACATTTGCGCTATCGCGCATGTATTAGCCCCTTTTAAATATTACATACATTTATCTTGCTAAAGTAAAGTTTTTTGCAAATTTGGTATTTTCAAAAAGAAGTGTAAATTTTTTAGTTAAAAAAATAAATTTATAAAAAGAAATTGCCTTAAAACAATTACGGTCAAAAAAAAATATTATAATATAGAAATCGGCGCTGCGCGCCTCTATTCTGTTATTTTTTGGATAAAATTTCAGTGTTAATTTTTGAAGACCCAGAAAAAACGTTATTATTGTTTAAAATATAAAAAAAAATAATTTATTGATGACACTCCAACTATTTTTTTGTTTGAAGGTTTAATTTTAAAGAACAAACAACATTTTTTGTTTATTAGGGCTCGCGCGCGTACATTTGCGCTATCGCGCCTGTATTTGCGCTGTCGCGCATATGTATACGTGCGTGAGTGGGTATAAACTTTGAATTAAAAGTGTGGAAATTAGTTTTTAATGTTTACAATTTAAAAAAATAACTTACCAATGACACTCCGGAAATATCCGAATATTTTTGTTTGAAGTTCTTATTTTAAAAAACAACCAAAATCCTATGAAATCGGGCTCGCGCGCGTACATTTGCGCTATCGCGCATGTATTAGCCCCTTTTAAATGTCATACATATTTATCTTGCAAAATTAAAGTTGCTTCAAATAAGAATTAAGTTGGAGTTGTTTTGTTTTTACAAAATAACTTGTCATAAAAATGCCTTTTGTTTAAGTCATATACATTTAATTTAAAAAAGTACACACAATATTATTTGTATTCGGGCTCGCGCGCGTATATTTGCGCTACCGCGTGTATATTTGCGCTGTCGCGCATGTATTTGCGCCTTTTAGATATTATATACATTTATCTTGCTAAAGTAAAGTTTAAAAAAACTTCAATGTTTTAATTAAAAAAAAAGATATCCCAAAAACAAATAAAGATGGATTTGTTTTGTTTTCACAAAAAAGCATCAATTTTTTGATTACAAAAAAATCTTATCTTAAATTTTAATTAAAAAAATTCTCAAAATAATTATGGTCAAAATAAAAAATATATAATATAAAAATCGGCGCTGCGCGCCTCTATTCTGCTATTTGTTACAATTGCGAATTTGCACATTTTTTGAAAATGGTTCTGAAACAAAGTTTGGATAATATTTTAGAGGTAATTTTTGAAGACCCAGGAATTAAGGTATTATTGTTAAAAAAATTAAAAAATATATACCGAGAACACTTTGAAAACAGACAAATAATTTACATTTAAATTATAAAAGAACACACAAGTTTCTGTTTATTCAGGCTCGCGGGGGTACATTTGCGCTATCGCGCATATATTGGCGCTCGCGCGCACTTGTGTGTGTTCGCTTATATCCTAAAAACAAATAAAGATGGACTTGTTTTGTTTTTACAAAATGAGTTGTCATAAAAACGCCTTCTGTTTATGTCATATACATTTAAAATAGAAAAAAAACAGACAATATTATTTGTATTCGAACTCGCGCGGGTACATTTGCGCTATCGCAAGTGTATTTGCGCTATCGCGCGTGTTTTTGCGCTGTCGCGCATGTATTTGCGCCTTGTAAATGTCATGTAGTTACATTTATCTTGCTAAAGTAAAGTTTTTTGTCTCAAAATGAAGTTCTCAAAAAAGCGGCAATATTTTAATAACAAAAAATCGTACCAAAAAGAATAAGAAAAAATAACTTACCGATCACACTCCGAAAATAGCCGAATATTTTTGTTTGAAGTTCTTATTTTAAAAAACAACCAAAATGCTGTGAAATCGGACTCGCGCGCGTACATTTGCGCTATCGCGCCTGTATTTGCGCTATCGCGCATGTTTTTGCGCTGTCGCGCATGTATTTGCACTGTCGCGCATGTATTTGCGCTATCGTGCATGTATTTGCGCTGTCGCGCATATGTAGTTATAAACTTTATGTGCAACGACTGAATTAAAGGTGTGAAAAGTTTTAAATATTTAAAAAAATAACTTACCGATGACACTCCGGAAATAGCCGAATATTTTTTGTTTGAATGTATTATTTAAAAAAACAACCAAAATTCTGTGAATTCGTGCTCACGCGCGTATATTTGCGCTGTCGCGCATGATTTGCGCATTTTAGATGTTATATAAATTTATCTTGCTAAAGAAAAGTTATTTGCTTCAAATAAGAATTCTAAAAAATATCCCAAAAACAAATAAAGAATGATTTTTTTTGATTTCACAAAATTATTTGATAAAAAAATACCTTCTGTTTATGTTATACATTTAAATTACCAAAAAACAGACAATATTATATGTATTCGAGGTGGCGCGCGTACATTTGCGCTATCGCGCGTATATTTGCGCTATCGCACATGTATTTGCGTATTTTAATGATATATACATTTACCTTTATAAAAAGAAATTGCCTTAAAACAATTACGGTCAAAAAAAATTTATTATAATATAGAAATCGGCGCTGCGCGCCTCTATTCTGTTATTTTTTAGATAATATTTTAGTGGTAATTTTTGAAGACCCAGAAAAAACGTTATTATTGTTTAAAATATAAAAAAAAATTTTCTGATGACACTCCAACTATTTTTTTGTTTGAAGGTTTAATTTTAAAAAACAAACAACATTTTTTGATTATTAGGGCTCGCGCGCGTATATTTGCGCTATCGCGCCCGTATTTGCGCTATCG